AAAAGAGCGTGAATGAGGGAGACAAACCCAAATTCCAATAAATGTGACACACTGGGCAAGCTTTCATCTTCCCCCCTTCACATGAGATGAGTGAGATGATTAATGAAGTAATCCCAATCTGTGAGGCTGAAAAAAATCATCCAAACATATTTTCTTTCCAATTCACAGACACTGGGGATCCGTTAAATTTTCAGAGATTAAAAGGTTGGGAACTCCTGGACTCCATCAGAGTCTCAGTAGGTTTTAAGGGATTTATACCTGAGATGGTGGCATGGGCAGAGCTCTGACAAATCACAACCATATACATGTCATTTTTCAATGAGGCTAGATGGTCACCAAGGTCTCCTACAGATCTATGATTCTGTGATTCTGATCATGCAGACTTCCATATACTGATGTTGTGCTCACAGAGGTATGCTATTGGGGTCACCTCTCATAAGGAAGATGGGTTTGCTGCATGTCCTCTGAATGGCTTAAAATGTTGCAGCCTGTATATGCAAAACATTAGCAAGGTTACATCCCCTCAACCCATCCATAAAGAATCTACTGAAAAATCCCTAAGAGGCCGAGACAGTGATTGCTATAATTTTGCATGTTTTTCAGTGCCTCATTCAGCAACCTTGTAAAAATGCTTTGCATGGATAAATGGACCACATAAAGATTGAAGCAAGTCTTAACTAACTAACCTAACCAAAAAATAGGGTTACAAAGTCTGAAAACTCCTTAGTAAGCCGAGAAAGTTTATCGATTGAAGTGAACCTTAAGTTGGTACTAAATGGTGGGTAAGAGAGAACAAAAACTGATTTAAGCAAGGTGTTGTCATACAAAATAAAAATTGAGAAGTCACAGAAAATGAATAAAACGTAGAAAATATGCTTGCTAAATTAGAGAGTTGGGTTAATGAATGAAGATAGCCAGCTCAGGCCTACACATACAATATGAAATTGAAAGTGTAGCTCTCTGTACTTGAAGTCAGAGATTTCATCAAATTCTGTACTATGAGCTAATCATAATTAGAAAAAGCATTGCCCTTTAGAAAAAGTAAGCACATCAATCAATTACAGAGGGGGAAAATTACTGGAGTGTCCAATTAAGAAAGATCCTAGGTTAATGGCTGGGAGTTTAAGAGGCCTATATAAATACATGTAAAATTCTGAATACATGCATTTTTAGGACAAGGGAGTCATTGCTTTCTTTAGATTCTTAATGAGATGATGGTCCCAAACTGGCTAAGACCGCACCGATTTAAGTAAAAATCCAAAGTCTTTTGAATACCCATTTGTCAGAATTTAAGAAAAGAACAACTTTGTAAATATAAACTGCTACCACAGAAATGGTACTGCTTTTATTTTTGGCTACTTTTCTAGGGCTGTGTATAACTTATAGTACTTAGTGCAAAGCATGGAAATATCACAAAGTATAACAAATGAGAGAAAAAAGGTTTTGATTTGACAAATAAAACTCAAACTATACCAAGTTGCATATAGAGAAGTAGGTGTTTCAAACGACCAAAGTAACATTTAAGGGACAATTAACATTCAAAGTCAATAGTAATTAAGGACCTACTGTAGAGCACAGGGAACTCTGCTCAATACTCTGTAATGACCTATGTGGGAAAAGAATCTAAAAAAGAGTGGATATATGTATAACTGATTCACTTTGCTGCACAGCAGAAACTAACACAACATTGTAAATCAACTATACTCCAATAAAAATTAAAAACAAAACCCAAAAAAGTCAGTAGTAAACAACTGTTTCCCGCACGCTGCTCCTGAGGTGGGGCCAGTAGGCCAAACTGATAGTACAATATTGCCCCCTACTGAACTGTACTAGTAAAGATAAACCTAGAAGAACAGGGCTTTAAAGTGCTTACTTTTAAAAGGACCTACTTGGAATGCTCTTTTCCCATCAATACCAGGTTAGCCTAATATTAGCATAAGTCTGGGTTATTCACTCTATGGTAATTTTAGTGTGGCAGTAAGGTAATGTGGTGTAGGAGTTTAGAGGAATCAATCATGAATATAAGGTAACATTTAAAAATTACTGTAATAAATATTTTTCTTAAAACTATATAGGATCTTGAAGTTTGTAAAGGCTGAACAAAGTCTCTAGTCTAACCAACTATAGGTTCACAACTTCCTTATATATATATCTCTGCCAAGTAGTTGCCCAGTCTTGGCTTAAACATTCTGGTGACAGAAAACTCACCATTCCTGAAAACAGTCTCTCCTGTTTTGGATAATCCTCCTTACAGCTGAAAATTACTCTATCTCTCCAGGAGAAAACCCCTCAAATATTTAAGCAGGGCAAATTTGTCCCACTAAATCATCTATTCTCCAAATTAAATAACCCAAGTTCCTTTGGCAGCAGCTCCTGTGACCAGGGTTCAGATGTCTCCAACATTCTAATGCACTCATCTAAATGTGTTTGTTTCTATTGTTGCTATAACAAATTCCCACAAATTTAGTGGTTTAAAACACAAATTTATTATCTTACAGTACTTTAGGTCAGAAGCCTGACACTGGTGTCACTGGGTCAATAGGGCCATATTCTTCTCTGGAGGCTCTAGGCTAGGAGGACCTGTTTCCTTGCCTTTTCTAGCTTTCAGATTCCACTCATTTTCCCGGGCTCATGGCTCCCTCCCACTATCTTCAAAGTGAGCAACACTGCATCTCTCTGACCATTCTTAAACAATCACCTTTTTCTCTTACTATCACCTCAGCCAGGAAGGGTACTTTTAAGGACTCACATGATTAGGTTGAGCCCACCTAGCTAATTAAGGATAATCTCTGTATCTCATCATCCTTAACCTTAATTACTTCCGCCAAGTCCCTTTTTTAAAAATGCAAAATAACATATTCACAAGTTTGGGGGACTACTACAAAATGCCTTCCCATTTGTATTTGCTCCTCCTAAAGTAGAACATTCCATCTGACTATGGTACTCTAGGAATGGTCAGCACTGAGTAAAAAAGGATTGTCACCTTCATCTTTTCAGATACTATACTTCTAATATCTGGATGAAAATCCAGAGAACTTATCTAATCACACCCATAATTCTCATTGGGCTACTAACTAAAACTCCTAAGCCATCACTATAAACACAGCTCTTTTTTTTTTTATTGGAGTATAGTTAATTTAAAATGTTGTGTTAGTTTCAGGTGTACAGCAAAGTGAATCAGTTATACATATACATACATCCACTCTTTTTTAGATTCTTTTCCCATATAGGCCATTACAGAGTATTGAGTAGAGTTTCCTATGCTATACAGTAGGTCCTTATTAATTATCTATTTTATATATAGTACTGTGTATATGTCAATCCCAATCTTCCAATTAAACATAGCTCAAGCCACTCCTGCCTCATCCTTTACTTGGCAGTTGTTTTTCTAAACCCAAGTATAAGAACGTAGGTTTAAGGACTTCCTTAGTGACACAGTGGTTAAGAATCTGCCTGCCAATGCAGGGTACATGGGTTCGAGCCCTGGTCCAGGAAGATCCCACATGCCGTGGAACAACTAAGCCCATGAGCCACAACTACTGAGCCCACGCTCTAGAGCCTGCGAGCCACAACTACTGAAGCCTGCGTGCCTAGAGCCTGTGCTCCACAACAAAAGAAGCCACCGCAATGAGAAGCCCACGCACCGCAACGAAGAGTAGCCCCCGCTCGCCGCAACTAGAGAAAGCCCTCATGCAGCAATGAAGACCCAACGCAGCCAAAAATAAATAAATAAAAGCAAGAAGAGTTTATGCAGAATAATTCTATTTTTTAAAACAGCATCTTCTATTTCTAATATGGAATATAAATACTTCATAAGCATTTAACAAATATTAAGTTAATATTGTTAAAATCATCACATGTGGTAAAAATGGACAATACAAATTTTAACGTAAAAATATAAACTTTGAGATGAAGATTGGTAGTAAGATATATAACCACACTTAGAAAATATATTTCTTTTCCTATTTTTGTTACTCAAACACTGAAAGCTTTTGTGAGTCACTTAGCTTTTGGAAGTCTGTTTTTCTCCACCAAAATTGGACCCTGGAGATGACCTATCTGTGAGAAATGCACTGATGATTGACTAGAAAATGACTTTAAGTGTTTATAAACCTCAGTATTATCATTATCACTGCCTTTACTCTTCCATTTGCTCCATTATCTTGTCATCAACAGAGATACTACTTAAAATCACTCTACTCTTTTTCACTTCCCAGCTCTTCTCTATCATTTATCCAGCCTCAACAAGTCTTAAGTCAATCTTTAGCCTTTTAGGGACTAATAAATATATTCAATCAAAGAAAATGATGGTATAAGATGTAAGGTGATGCTTTGGGATTCTTAGGGAAAATATACCTCATACATATAAATAGATGTGTTTACAGCTCATTATAATTTGAGGTTACAGAGGCCATTCTCTCTATACTACATTTAACAGTATTAACAAAGATAGTTTTGTGTTTTCACATCAGTTTCTACACACAGGAACATTACAATAATGACTACTATTATTTTTTTCACTTACCAAAAGAAAAAAGTTAAAATAAATATGAGGCTATTTCTCTCCCTTTTTCCATTGACTAAAAGAGGTGCCGTCTTTTTATATTTTACTCTGGAAAAGAGAAGGCTCATCAAAATTAAAATGATCTTATCCTAGGACCATTATAAAACATATACATCTGCCCCAAAAGATCTCTGAAGTCCTGGTCAAATATCTTTCTCTGACCAACATGCCGCTCAACGAATGTTGCTACTGAATTAGGACCTTTTAAAAAGATGGCAGTACTGTGATGAATAAACTAACTTGAACCAATAATTCCTTTTCTCATCCATTCACTCAACATCATTAAGCAACTATAATAATGTAATGCTTTCAGTCATTCAATAAATTCATAAAATGTGAAAATATAATATGGGAAGGAATATTTATACTTTCCTATATTTTTAGAAATTTCTATTGTGTACTTCACATACAGTTTTATGTATGTAAATGACCTTACCTCTCTTACAGATAGCTGTGGTGGGAAGGAGATTGACAATACCAAGTTGGTGAATTCAAACCCAGAGGCCTCAACCTTTTGGCACACCTAAAAAAGTATTACATAAAAAGTATTTTTTATTACATAAAAAAGTATTATATAAATTCCCAGGAATTGCTCAAATTTTTACACTAATCTTCATAACATGAATTTTTGGTCCAGGAGATGACACTGCAAAACTTCTAAACTTTTACCTTTGAGTAGGAACTCTCACAAACATCCTGAAATCAAATATTTGCCAACTATGACCCTGAGGACTGATATCACAAGGTGCCAAAAGAGCCAGGACTCACCTGCAGAACAACCTGTTGAATGTCAAAATACTTTTCTATTAAGTCACCTAGTAATTCAGAAAAGATCTTAAACAAAATAAAGCCAAATAGGCACTCTTGATACCTGGAAACAAAAAGCAATCCCACCTTCAATCATGTACCTTCCTCAAGGCTGTAACACTAGTCTTTTCTAGACACTAAAAGGTATGACTAAAGAAGAACTTTTCTCTAACTCCTTAGCTATGTTAAACAGCAAAGGGAAAACTGCTACATTTTTGTTCAATTGAACAGCACTCATAACTGAAATACATGGATACATATTTCATTAATTTTCAGACATGTTGATAAAAAGGTAATTTGAGAATAGTAGGCTTTTTTAAAAAAAAATTAAGAAAACGTTCTAATGATCCATTTGTGTGAAACAAGTTGAAACGAATGGCATTGTTCCTTTGGATACAAGAATTCTAGGCCTTAGAACTGAAAATCTTTACGAATCGCACATTAATAAAAAAACAGTTTACCTTTTTAATGAACTCTTTTTCACAGAAATCTTGAAGAATTCCTAGGCATACATTGCATACATTTAAATTTGAGTTCTTGGAAGCAATGCTTCCATCTTCAATAATCAAGATCTTTCCCTCTCCATTTTGACTCAGATTATCCATCCCATCAATCCCATCTTCTAGTTCTTGTAGTCGAATTTTCTTGGGAGGTGGGTTTGGAACTTCTGAAATTAATTCATCTTTTTCAGTTTCCAGAAATTTTTGCAGTTCATTGAGCAACTCCTGGAAAGTTAATTAAAAAAAAAAAAAAGTAATGACCCTTTAACAATGTCCTTAAGGGTAAGATGAAGTGTGAAAATTATGATATATCACAGACTTATACAATGCTGACTTATATCAGTTCTGGAGCAGTTAGTTTTATTAGTCAGCATTGGCTTTCAGGAGAATTTAAAAGAGAATGCCTAATTCCTATAATATATGTGTGAATATTTTTTCAAAAGAGTTTCATACATCAGTGAAGCTAAAATCCTAAATCTGAGATGGAAAGGCTCCATTAACAAATTTATTAATTTGGCCTGTAGTTCTGTTGTGAGGGTCATTGACTTGCTAATTTCAGCAAAACAAACAAACAAAAACAAAAAAACCCAACTTCAATTCTAATTATTAGCAAATAGAAATGCAAACTGAATTTCCATCTATGCTAGGTTATTTAATAATCTCACAACCACTAAAACTTCATATGTACAATATTTAATATGAAATATGAAAAATTACATAGATTAGAAGTCTATTAAGTAAAAATAATTTCTAGTCAATTTACTAAACAAAGGCAAACAGATGCTGGCAATGCTGAAATTTGGCATCATAATTACAAACCATTTACAGGCTAATTGAAAAAAGCCCTCTACTACATTCTGGTTTGCCTAATTTCTGTCACTCTTTGTATTGGAATGTAAAAAGTGGCATTCCTTTCAAACCACTATCATATTTCAGACATTCCACTCATCTAAATACTCAGAGGACTTTTCTTCTGTTTTGTCTAAATTGGGCAGGTTTTATTATTCAGTTGTTGAATAAATATCCTTTTGAAATTCACTCATATTACAATTTACTGACTCTAAAGGGAAAAATCTTTCACTCAAACAAATTTAATTCATTTTATTAAGACATGAGCTCTCCTATTAAATCTTTAACAGAGAAATACATACACATATACACATACAGGCATATTATGGCCCACACAGATATGTTTATTATTACCTAAGACCTATAATGTCAATATAACATCGTACAGATACATGCATGTGTACATATATCACACGATAGAAAATATTAAAATATATTTACCCAGAAAAGTCCTCAGATATTTTCATGTTTATTTACATAAAATGATACAAAAGTTGGTAACACCAAGTGTCTTTCTATAATATATATTTTAAAACTTACAACATATGTATAAAATAATAGATTATAAATGTGTCTGAAAAAAATTGTAAGGCAAGTTACACAAACTCAATCTTATCACTTCATAGTCATTATGCGTATAAAGAAATATAGATGTATATATTAATCATCATAGCATATGTACCATTTCCAGTTTTCAAAGTGTTTTCACATACTTTATTAGATATTGTCCCTTAAAATCCTGTGAGGTGGATGTTATCATCACGCCCATTTACAGAGAAGAAAACTGAAGCTGGAAAGTGGTGAAACTGGGATTCAAATCCATGTCTTCTAGCTCCAAATTCTAGGCTTTGGATTCAGACAGACAGTTCATATCCTAGCTTGCTCACTTAATAGCTGTGTAACTTTGGGCAGGTTGCTTAACCTCTCTGTGCCTCAGTTTCTTCATCTGAAAATAGAGACAATCATAGTATGTACTTACCTATTAGGTTATTGTGAGGATTATATGAGAGCTTGACATATAATAATGCTATATGAATATTGGATATAATTATTTCCAAAATAATAGAAACTAATACATAGGAGAAATGACTGCCATTGCTAACTCCTGGGCAATTTTTTTAAATTATAGGAAGCTGAATGTGTGTGTGTGTGTGTGTGCGTGTGTGTGTGTGTGTGTGCGCGTGTGTGTGTGCATGTGTGGTGTATTCGTACTGTTTATAAGTACATATTTACACATATGTATATAATTACTATCTGCCTCTGAAAAGAACATCACTGTTAGAATAAAATATATTTCACAAAATGTTATATATTTTATATGAAATATTCTATTAAATGTCAAAGCTCTCTGTATATTACCATAAATGTCAAAGACCTCAGTATATTACTTTTGCTATTAATAGTGGTAAGTGATAATAAGCATTTACTTCTAGAGAGTTGCAAACACCTATTTGTAAATACAAGTGGTAATACAGAAAACAGAAAAAGAAAAAAGGCAACCAAACCCACCATGCTTCCACTCCCCCATTACATTTTACTAATATCTGGTGAGATGCACTATTTTGTGATATTCTGTCTAGATATTCTTTAGGAAAGATCTATGCAAACATTAAATGCACCAGTGAATTGCTTCACAAAGATCTCACTACATTAAATGTTAAATATAATCACTTAAGAAGGAACTTACATTTTATATGGTAATGGCAATTCCAAAATTACCATTATCGGTAACTATTTTATTATAGTTTTTTAAAAAATTTAATGAAGAGTTATGAACAGATACTTGCCCTCAAATACACAGGTATTGATTTAAAACCTTTTCTTAACTTAAAAAAAAAGGAAGGAAGGAAGAGAGAAAGAAAGAAAATACCCTTACCTTGTAGGGAAGTTTGTATGGTGCATGAAAATCCACACCACAGAATCTGAAGATACATCTTGGACAGGTACCAGTACTGAGCAACAACTGGGCCACATGCTTGTTTTCCACAGTCAGTGGAAACATATTAAATAACTACAACTAGAAAAAAAGAAAAAGTAAAACTAATGAGCACCTTTTGTGTTTTACTTTCACAGACAAATATATGGTCACCTTTAAGGATAAAAATCTTTAAAGATAAAACATTTATATTTGAAAATCACTATTTGGTATTCTCCAATAATGTCCCTTTCATTATATCCATATTGAAACAAAAACTTGAAGGCAATTTATTAGATGGATCAGGTAAAAGTTTCTAATTGTCAAGGACTTTAACATTCTGGATTATGATAAAGTGCATCAACATAACTAAATCAATCAAAAGAAATAAAAACTAATAAAAAATGGCTGTCTCTAAGGAGGGTAAGGAAAACAAGAATACAGAGTGTAATTTTGCTTTTTATTTTGTACCATTCAGTATTGTTTGAGAACACAGAGTTGTAAATTCAATAAACTTTCCTGTTAGAAATAAGAAATGAGTTTGCTAGAAAAAATAATCAGATCAGTCTACGTTATGTAATACTTGACTGCCCTTAATGATAGTTAAGCAGTCAAGTATTCAAAGCAAACTGATCAGATTCAAAAATATCAATTTTACTTTGATGAAATAATAACTAAGTAAAAGCCAACTATTACCAAAATGAGAAAAATCTTCCTTTCATACACAAGTAAAAACTCCAACAAAAACAAATAAAGTGCAAAATATTTTAGAGTAATTATTATCTAAAACAAGTTGCCACTTTTTTGCAATTTGAACAAACTCACTTGGAAGTAAATACGACATAGAGAATGGGTTCTTGTTGCCAGGAAGGAGTGGGGTAATGAAAATTAAATTTCGTAGTCATTCTGTTTGGAGGGAAAAAAAAGGTCTTCTGATTAATGAATCAGCTCACATTACTTTAAAATGAGGAACTAGTGATATTTTATAAAACTATGATTTCGTGGTTATGGTACTGAGGTCATAGAGATAAAAGATTGTGGCACCTTTAATTTGTTCATTTTCATAATTCAAATGAACTTAGTATTTGTGGAGGGTGAAGCTCTTACCAACTGCTTACTATAAAGATGTGACTCTTAGAATTAGTTTGTGTTTTCTAACCCTTTAAAACCCACTACTTACTTTCAAGTTTCTAAATGTTTGTGGCCACTTATCAAGAATAGATCCTTGACAGAAAACAGATAGTACTATGGAACTCTTCACCATAAAAATAAGGTCAGCAAGCAGGACTACAAAAACCAGATTGCCTGTGGCTGGGTTCTAATTCAGGTACCAGAATATGTGAGTTGTCAGGGAGGGGAAGGGAAGAAAACCAAGCTTCTCTGGACACACCAGTGAGAACTTTCAGACACCCAGATTGGGAAACACTGATTTAGGATTGCCTAAGTAAATTTGAGCTCCAGAAAGTACAGAATATGTAAAGAACAACCTCTGCATAATGAAGCTCTGTGTGATCATTGTTATTTACAAACGATCTGAATCCCTTCCCCCAGCTCATTTAATCTAATACTTTGATGCTGATAAGGGGTTGGGATTCTTTGAGGAGCTGATTATCAGCATTTAAAGTGTATCCCAACTGCATTCCCCTCACAGAGAAACTGTTTCTATTTCGTCCTTTTTTTCTCCGCCTTTCCATTAGCTAAAGCCAAGGATTTCATTTAATTGAGAATTAACCTTTAACTCAGAAAGAGAAACCAATAAACCCTCCTGTCCAATAAATAAATCCAGGACTGAGTGCTTAAGATGGGCACTTTGTATCAAAGATTTCCCAGGAGACTTAAGTTAAATAGTTGTATTAAAATGTATGCTTTTTCCCCCCGTTGGCTTAAAGACAATGTTTGTTTCTCCAGTAGGTTCACTAGAACAAAGGTATCACGCTAGTCAATAAATGACACATTATACTCTCTTGGCTCTAAAGTTTCCAAACCCGTTCAGAATTAGGAAATCTCCTGTCTTGAGTAATTTGAAGAGGTCTTAAAAGAGCAAAACAAAACCCTCTTCCGTAATTATGTTAGTAATCGAATGGCATTACAAATTTCTCAAGATCACTTTCACCTAGCAACAATCTAGCGACTTCCCAAGCGCGTTTACATTAGGAAAAAATATGTTCTTAAATTTGGTTGTTTCATCTTGATGTACAGCGCTGAAATGCCAGGATTTCATAAGACATCAGAAATCAGTTGTTCCATATTAGATTTATTATCTTTGAAACCAAGCCCTGAGAAATGCATCCCGTACTGTAAGGTCTGCATTGTCGGTTGCCTTTACGATGTTTGTTTTTCGTTTACGTGTTTACTTTACCCAAAGAACTGGAACTTTTCATTGCAACAGAATCTCTTCCCAGGTGTCAGGATCCTACGGCGATCCAGTCCCTGCTCCACAAATCAATGGTAACTAGCCCCGTCTCTGGTTTACTAGAGAAGATGGTTTTTCTTTTTACTTCTTGGACGATTACAGAAACTATTTATTACAAACAGGCCAGGAGCAGGCAAAAAAACCAGGCTGAGTCTCACATCCCGGGATCTTTTAAAACTCATTTTCATACAGAAGAGTGTCATTCGTCTTGTGGGGTGGGGGTGGGGTGTGGATTTTTAAAGAAAGGCGCTCGTAACTTCATCGCGCTACCGATACACTCAGGAGTGGAATCTACTCTAGATTTCTGGAAAGTTCAACCCTAGGTCTAACCTCCAGTCTTTCCTTTGGCCAACCAAGGAAGACCTTCTCACCTTCAGTCAGGTCCCCAAACACTTCCCACTCACCCCTCCTTCCTAACAAAGCCTCTCCCACAGGAAGGAAACGATCCCCTCCATCCACACCTCTCCGGCATGCAGTCCTCACCCCCTCTCCTCAGACCTCCCTTGCCTCACCTTCTCCCACGGCGCCGGAGCTAGAGATTTAACCCCTTCCAGCCCTCAGAGGGAACGGGGAAGACTAAAGACAACGCACCTATTGCGTCTAGCAATTCTGTTCCCCGAGGAAACGAGAGCTATAGAACAAAAAGTACCAGCTCCCTCACGCGAGGACTGAGTGAATTCTCCCCTGCTTGTTTGCAGGGAAACCAGTCAAGATACCTGGCCGGCCGCCACGCACCCTGCCTGCCCCGCGGGTGGAGGAGTGGTGTGTGGGTCAGTACTCCCGGCCGGGTGCAGGACGTGTCCCAGGGAAGCCTCCTTGGGACTCTGACGTCTAGGACATTATAGCCGCCACCAGAAATATCGATGAGCTCTTACCCTCTGTTTAGAATGGAAGTTCTTTCCAAGGCAAATAAAAAGAAAGCGTTTCTTCCCATAGGTTAGTGGCATCCTCCTAGGCTGTAATACCAAAGCACCACAAACCACATCCTGACTGCAGGGGAGGGCCGGGTGGAGGGCTCTGCACTCTGCATATTGTGCCTGGCGCTTAAGCGGCTGGTGTCCTCGGGCCTGGAGAGTCCCAGCGCAGAGCGGGATCTGAGAGGAGGCGGAGATGGCGTCCCAGCCGCCGCCTCCCCCGAAACCCTGGGAGACCCGCCGGATTCCGGGGGCCGGGCCGGGGTCAGGACCCGGCACCACTTTCCAGTGAGTGTGCGATTTTTCAGGCCGCGAGTTTTGTGGGCCTTAGCGGGGACTTGGCAGGAGGCGGTTGAGGCCGTTGTTGGGTGTGAAGTATCCCCTCCCCCTCTCAACCAGCCCCCACCCACACTCCTAGTCTTAAGGGAGGTCGAAGTGCCGCCGGGGCGCCTGCAAGGGGAATTTCGGTGTCAGACAGCTGTTTCTGACTCGGCGGCTCTCGGCAGCGACGTTTCCGGGGGGGGGGGGGGGGGGGGGGGGGGATCCCGGGGCTCCTGTCTGAGTGCCGGTGCTTGGAAGAAAGGGTCAGGTACCACCTGTCCCTTCTGTTTGGGGGACACCCTGACTGAACTGCACGACTCTCTTCCCCCCGCCATCCCCACCTTAAAGAGTTAAGACTTTCGGTCCGTAGCAGGTGAGAGAGGCATTTGCCCGGCCCCGGGTCGTCAGGGAGCAAAGTCTCTCGAAAGCTTTTAACCATCTCTCGACAAGTTGGTGAAAGCCCAGAAGGTCACTTTTACACAGCTGGAACTCAAGCCTGTACAGTTTGCGTTTTTTTCCAGCATAACTCAGCAATGTTTCGGATAAAGTTGGAAAAGCAACAAGCGGGAGTTAAAAACTGAGGCCTACGAGTGGCCTTTGTGTGCTAGATAGTGTGTGATTTTTTTCTAAGGCCTGTGGTTTTTTGTTTGGTTTTAATCAGTGTTAAATGGATCTGCAACTCAAAAAAGGCTAAAATAGAATAAAAGAGAAGAATTTCACATAGAGAATGGGTTCTTGTTGCCAGGAAGAACGTGTTTTGTGTTGGGTGGATCTGGACATCTTTTTTTTTAATTTTTTATATTGGAGCAGAGTTGGTTAATAATGTGTTAGTTTCAGGTGTACAGCAAAGTGATTCAGTTATACACATACATGTATCTATTCTTTTTCAAATTCTTTTCCATTTAGGTTATTACAGAATAGTAAGCAGTGTTCCCTGTACTATACAGTAGGTCCTTGTTGGTTATCTATTTTAAATATAACAGTGTGTACATTGTCAATCCCAAACTCCCAATCTATCCCTTCCGCCCTTGTAATCATAAGTTCTGTTCTCTAAGTCTGTGGATCTGGGCATCTTAGTTCAGATGGTGAGACTCGAATGTCACATTGCCTACTGTGGTAGGTTTACTTACATAGAAATCCCCAACATACTGGAATGTATTTCTGCTATGTTCTAAAATCTTGTAATGTTTTTTTAAGGTGTTTGAACACAATTGCTACTTTATTTAATAATGAAGGTACATAAGTAGTAAGCTTTAATTATGCTATTAACTTGGGATGACACTTTATGCTACTTTTTAAAAAATAAATTTATTTTATTTATTTTTGGCTGCGTTGGGTCTTCGTTGCTGCGCACAGGCTTTCTCTAGTTGGCAGCGAGCAGGGGTTACTCTTCGTTGCGGTGGGTGGGCTTCTCATGGAAGTGGCTTCTCTTGTTGCGGAGCATGGGCTCGAGGCACATGGGCTTCAGTAGTTGTGGCTCGCGGGCTCTAGAGCACAGGCTCAGTAGTTGTGGCGCACGGGCTTAGTTGATCCTCAGCATGTGGGATCTTCCCAGACCAGGGCTCAAACCCGTGGCCCCTGCATTAGCAGGCAGATTAGCATTTTTTGCTAATATAAAGGTAGCATCTGGTACCTTTTTTTATGAGTGGTTTGACCTTCTTTAAAAATTTGGACTGCTCTTTAGAAGAGAGACGTTTTATTTTTGCATCTGTTAAAGTTCTGTTTATGTAAGATTAACCATTTTCCCACTTTTTAAGAAAATGTGAAGTATTTTAAACACCTAGAGACTGGTAGAGAGTAAGATGATGAATACTTGTGTATTAGCTCCCAGCTTTAAGAAATATTAACATTTTACCAGATTCGCCTCAGATTTTTTAAAAAATAAAAATTAGAGCAACAGTTAAACCCTCCCATTCTTCTTTCCTACGGTAACTACTGTCCCTATTTGGTTTTTATACTTCAGTATTTAGCTTTGTATGTACATTACATATGTATATATGTATGTATTATTATTCAGTATATTTTTGACTTTAAATATATTCGAACTGTATGTATCATTTGCAAAGTGTTTTTCCACTAAGTATTATTTATTTTGAGATTTATCTTGTTCATTCTTGTAACTGTACAGGTATACTTGGGAGGTATTGCAGGTTGGATTCAGACCACCGCAGTAAATCAAATATCGCAATAAAGTGAATGAATATCGCAATAAAGCGAGTCACATGAGTTTTTTTGGTTTCCCAGTGCATATAAAAGTTATGTTTACACTCTACTGTAGTCTATTAAGTGTGCAATAGCATTATGTCTAAAGAAACAATGTATATAACCTTAAAGATACTTCATTGCTAAAAAAATTATGACCATCGTCTGAGCCTTCAGCCAGTTGTAATCTTTTTGTTGGTGGAGAGTCTTGCCTCGATGTTGATTCATTGGAGGTGGTTGCTGAAGGCTGGGGTGGTTGTGGCAGTTTCTTTAAATAAGACAACAATGAAGTTTGCCACATTGGTTGAGTCTTCCTTTCTCGAACATTTCTCTGTAGCATGCAGTACTGTTTGATAGCATTTTACCCACAGTAGAACTTCTTTCAAAATTGGAGTAGATCTTCTCAAACCCTGATGCTGCTTTATCAACTAAATTTACATAGTAGTCTAAATCCCTTGTTGTCATTTCAACAATCTTCATATCTTCTTCACCAGGAGTGGATGCCATCTCAAGAAACCACTTTCTTTGCTTACCCATAAGAAGCAGCTCCTCATCTGTTAAAGTCTTATCATGAGATTACAGCAATTCAGTTACATCTTTAGGCTTCACTTTTATTTTTAGTTCTCTTGCTATTTCCACCACATCTGTAGTTACTTGCTTCACGGAAGTCTTGAACCCCTTTAAAGTCATCCATGAGGGTTGGAATCAACTTCTTCCAAACTCCTGTTAAAGTTGATATTTTGAACTCATCCCATGTATCACAGATGTTCTTAATGGCATCTAAAATGGTGAATCCTTTTAGAAAGGGTTTCAATTTACTTTGCCCAAGTCCATCAGCGAAATCACTATCTATGGCAGCTATAGCCTTATGAAATTTATTTCTTAGATAATAAGACTTAAAAGTCGAAATGACTCCTTGATCCATGGGCTACAGAATGGATATTGTGCTAGCAGACATGAAAACAACATTAATCTCATTGTACACCTCCATCAGCTCTTGGGTGACCAGTTGCATTATCAGTGAGCAGTAATATTTTGAAAGGAATCTTTTCTTCTGAGCACTAGGTCTCAACAGTGGGCTTAAAATATTTAGTAAACCATATTGTAAACAGATGTGCTGTCATGCAGGCTTTGTTGTTCCACTGATAGAGCACAGGCAGAGTAGATTTAGCATAATTCTTAAGGGCCTTAGGATTTTCAGAATGGTAAATGAGCATTGGCTTCATCTTCAAGTTCCAGCTGCATTAGCCCCTAACAAGAGAGTCAGCTTGTCCTTTGAGGCTTTGAAGCCTGGTATTGCCTTCCCTCTAGCCATGAAAGCCCTAGATGGCATCTTCTTCCCATAGAAGGCTATTTTGTCCGCGTTGAAAATCTGTTGTTTAGCATAGCCACCTTCATTAATTATCTTAGCTAGATCTTCTAGATAACTTGCTGGAGCTTCTACACCAGCACTTGCAGCTTTACCTTGCACTCTTATGTTATGTAGATGGCTTCTTTCCTTAAACCTCCTGAAACAACCTCTGCTATCTTCAGACTTTTCTTCTGCAGCTTCCTCACCTCTCAATCTTCACAGAATTGAGAAGAGTTAGGGCCTTGCTCTGGATTAGGATTTGGCTTAAGGGAATGTTAATGGCTGCTTTGATTTAGCTAGACCACTAAAACTTTCGTCATGTCAGCAATAAGGCTGTTTCACTTTATCAATAGCGTGTTCACTGGAGTAGCACTTTTAATATCCTTCAAGAACTTTTCCTTTGCATTCACAGCTTGGCTAACGGTTTGGTGCAAGAGGCCTAGCCTTTGGCCTATCCTGACTTTGACATGCCTTCCTCTCTAAGCTTAATCATTTCTAGCTTTTGATTTAGAGGCGTGTGACTCTTCCTTTCACTTGAACACTTAGAGGCCGTTGTAGGGTTATTAACTGGCCTAATTTCAACATTCTTAAGTCTTAGGGAATAAGGGAATCTCGAGAAGAGAGAGAGACTTGGGAGGAAAGGCTGGTCGCTGGAGCAGTCAGAACACACACATTTATTTTGAGAGTTTGCTGTCTTATAGGGGCACAGTTCATGGTGTCCTAAAACAACTAGAATAGTAACATAAGAGATCACTGATCACCATAACAAATATAA